GTCCCCCTTCACCGAAACGGCGGAGGACACTCGACGTACCGGCGCGCTGGCCTGGTGAGGATGAGATCGAGATGGTTTCTAGTCCTACCACTGCCCCGACCGCGCAAGAGAAGGAGGACCGCGTAGGCTATGCTACAACACACGACGTTGACATGACCGACGAACCTCAGCAAGTCGAAACCCACGCTGCCACATCCCCCTCACCGGGTCACGCTCTTCCAACCCCAGAACTTGAGCAACCACCCTCCGCAGCCTTCCAGTGTGCACCCCTGCCAGACGTGATGGCCGCCCTGTCGTTGCCTTCGAGTAGCGCTTTCGTGCAGCTTCCGGGTCACCCGCCACCGACCCCGACAAGCCCCACCGCACCCGACCCCCCGAAACGCCTCAGCATGAGGCACATCCCCCTAATCTACATCACACAAGGCGACAAGATGCATTGTCGGATGTGCAAGTATGTGACCTTGACCTCTCCCCCGCCTCACGATACGTTTGGGCTGACGCGTGATCGCCTAGGCGCCGAACTGAGGATCCACGATGCAAGCATCTAAGCCCGCGTCCGTTCATCCTCGACGAGAAGACGGCGAAGTGGGCGGACATGGCGGGCCATTGCGAGCGCGAGCACCCACAGTCGTTTAAGGCCCTCGTGAGCATGTCGCCGAACGAGATCGAGGAGCACCTGCGCCGCTTGAACTCCGGAGTTCCCTCCGTGAAACGCTGAAATCTATACTGTTATATCATTTTGTGAGTGCCGCGTCGTCGACGATGTTCGGTGCTTCCGCGGCTGATGGTTGACGTAGGTACGAACGTTATGTAGGTTCCGTCAGGGTTTGCGGATGCATCTTGTGTAGGTTTGTACAGTGGCTTTCGCGCCGATCATGTATGATTTGTCCAACAGCATCACCGTAATATGTACTTATGCGCTTGTACACCCCGTCTCCTCGCTGATCAATACTGTTTTCCGCCGACGTCAACGTACTCTTGAATAACACCCAGCAGCTCTGAGGAAAGATACAGGGTCTTGACTTCCCGTCATTCGAGTTGGTCAACATGTTCTATAGTTCTCCGAAGCCGGGCCCCATCGACGACCCGGTCGCTTGAGGTTAGACTTGTGCGGCATCCTCCCGGTAAGGTACTTTCCCCGGTGTTGGTCCCAGACAATGTATGCCATCTAATCGCGCCATTCAGGCAAAAGAACAGGTGCATAGAAGAACCTGCAACTCATAGGTTCACAAATGCAGCGATCTCGTCTGGGACTACCACACTAGATTGAACTGAAATAAATGCCCGGTTCCCATTCGCCGTATGTCCTCAGTCAAGCACGACCGGTCTTCGATGCGATATACCCCACCTGACAGGCCTTGCATTACTGAAGCCCTCTCGTGCCCATTGCATCTCAACCTGTCACCCTAGAACCAAGATGGCGTGCTGGTGCTGACGGGAAGACGGGCGTCTAATGCTCCAGTGCACGACTGCCAGCTCCCGCGACGCGATCGCTAGCCCCACACTCATTGTCAATAGAAGCGCGGTATCAATCGTAGGGTACCGCTGTGTGACCTGCCCGGTACGAGTGTCATGGGTCCCCTGTGCCGGTACCTGTACGTTGAAGGATGCATGGAGTGGTGACATGGCGTTCCATGCCTACGTCTGCGGTTCGTGCAGGACAGCAGCGCCCGTACTCGGTTTGTATGTCAATCATTGCCAATGGCGATATTACACGCACAAACAGTTGGCACAGCTTTCCGCCGCAAGAGTCGGGGCGACGGAGGAACGGCGGTCGAAAGCTTCGTGCAGTGGTGGCGCATCGCAGTGAGCTTAGGGAGCTTCGGCGGTAAGCTTGATTGTTTCCTCTCACGAAGTGGCAAGCCTTCTCGCAATTATACTCATTACGGCTTAGCAGAGGAACCGTCTGGGGCGGCCGCCCGAATCCACATCGACGATTCATCCATTGTTTCCGTAGCCCGCAAGGCATTTGTTCGGAGTGTGCCCCTCGAGCTCCCTGTGAACCACCGGACCATCAAGTTGAATAGCAATCGGCCGTGTTCGAACTCCTGGGCACTCGGCCAACCTTGTGCCGACGACGTCGCATTCAGTCGCATACACACGCGTTCAAACACTAGGCTGTCGCCGAAGGACGTACCCCTTGGAAGCAACCCGGAGAGCTCGCACGCCGGTAGGCGGCTCCCCGTTCGTTGGTGGACGGAATACTGCAGCGTATATTGTCGTCTAGCCGCTATATAAGCTGGGATGAGTGCGTCGATTTGCCCAACAACAACCAAGCTTCCAGCTCTACTCTCTTGCTCTCTTGCGAACTTCACAGTCACAAGCACCCCGCACGACAATGCCCGTCTCTACTAAGACTCTTACCTTCGTCGGGTTCGTGCTCATGCCGCGTGTCAATACGCCTGAACTCACGGAGCTACACAGTGACCTTGCAGCGTCGGACGTGGTCACACTTACCGTGGCCTTCGTCCCTCCCGGTGCCGACACCTTTAGCAAGGTTTACCCGGTTGCCTGGAAGTACGTTCTCCATTTTGCTACGCGGCAGATTTATTGTGCTGTGTATTAATCCACTCTACTTGCGAAGGGTTTTGCCTATCAGCGGAAAGAAGTGTACGTGCAATTGCTCTCAAACCATGGTACTACGAAATATCTGAACTCGTTCTTTGGGCAGCATTCGGCCCGTTCACGTGGAACGATAAGTGAGTTCTGGTTATCTATTAGTGGATGGCATTGCGCCAACATACTATAGCTTCGGTGGATCCCGTGTCGAAGTCAACCCGAACAATCAGACCGCGACCTCGGATGAGTACGAGCCGGTGACGGTGAGTCTGAGCTATGACAACGAAACTGGGCGCAACAGTTGATATTCCGCGTGGAAACTAGCTCCACCAGACGACGAACATGTTGTTGGACAACACTTCCCACCCTCCCGCCTACCACTTCTCGGTAAGTGTCAATGGGCGATGGCAATGCTCATTAGGCAGTCATCTAACTGCTAAATTTTACAGGAACCCGAGACTTCTCAGGATCCGACCACGGCGGCGGTCGTTAACAGGACCGGAAAAGTTGTCAACATCGGCTCTGGTTGGTGATTTCGTTTCTGTGCTTTATCCCCTAGTACTAAGTCAAATGTTTCTCGCTTCTAGGTTATATCACCGGCTCCGACCCCAACTCGGAGTTCCACACTGCGCTCATCTGGACCCCTGTCCTGTGCGTACACCGAGGCCTCACTTCGTCTGTTAAATTCTGACATCCCCTTCTGTAGCGATGGCAACACAGTCGACGTCAGCTACACTCCGGTGCTGACTATTTGGGCCAACCTCCCCGGTGTCACCGAGTCTCAGCTAATTCCCCAGTTGCCGAATGTCAAACCTCTCTGGCAGGGTGACATTACCAAGACTTGGGGGACGAACCAGCTGTTCACCTTGTCTCGCAAGGAAGGCCAACTCGTCGTGGATGGCCCCAAGATCTTCCCCGGGCTCTCGGCAGCCCCCAACCAGGGTGCAGGTTCGAAGGCTGATGTTCAGTACCCCGTGAGTCGACCTATAATCTACGAGAAGGACGCTGCGGATTTACTCTACTCTAGACTATCAACTACACCGCCGAGCTCGCGTTCGCCACCCCGCTCCTCGCCTATGAGGGTGCGGCTGCCATCGCGAAGCAGCTGATCTGGAACTACTATCCCGTCAAAGTCACCCATAAGGTATTTCGTTTCGCGAAAGATCACCCGGATTTAGAGGCTAACAGTTGGTCTCACTTAGGCGACGGGTGGTACGCAGGTTCGCCTTGAGCTAGGCCTTCCTGTCCCTCTGAGCTGCGACGACGCCGAACGGGACACGCTGAACGCCATCGAACGGCTGCCGAGCACGTACGGAAAGGCTTTCATCACCAGTCACAGCGGTGCTGCGCTTCTGCTCACCGAGGATTGGGGCTTCGAGAAGTGGACGGAGATCAACCCAGCCAGCCGCCAATGGTTCGACGCCACTGCTATCAACGTCGCCGTACGTCGCACAGTATTCATCGTGAACCCCTGTGCATCCTAACGCACTATTATAGGGTGGTAACGGCGCCTTCGACGGTACGAACGGAGATGCCTTTGCTAAGGCTGGCGCTATCGAGAACGGTAAGGGGGTCAACGGCTCCGCTGAGGCCGCGACCGTCCCGAACGGCAATGGGCAGGTGGTTGCCGCCGTCGAGGCCGCTGCTCCCGTTGAGCCAGAGACCAAGTACAGGTCCGTGCGCCGCGCTGGTGGTGGCCGTCGCCCTGCGCTTCCCCTCGGGGCCTAAAGGCACATTACTCGGGATGGCCGGAACCCCCCTCCATAAGCTTCGTGATAGGTGGCTCGAGTGTCTCGTAATATGTTGCCCTTGACTCATGTAGTGCTTCGATAAGCTGTTGCTCCCGAATATGATCCCGTGTTAGCGAGTCATCGTCAATGTGCGATGTACTGAGTGCATAACGGCGCATTATGTCTCTCCACCAAGTAATGAACTCCAACCGGTCCATCGGTCCATTCGGAAACATTCCCAGATTCTCCGCGTCGAAAGATAGCACTTTGATTATTAATCGTGAGATCACCTCAAAACAGTTGTATAGATTTCTGTCTTGCTCAGGACAAAAGTCAATGGCCTCCGAGGCGACCAGCTTGAAGCGTCGAAACTTGAAAGCTGGGCGGCAGTGGAAAGTCCCGGGCAGTGGAAGCGCCACCTCGATGCGCACGCCGCGCTGCGGCCAGTCGTCGCGCAAACACGGTGGTGGCCCAGCGACGAACCCTTAGATTGGCAGGACTCCTTTGCGCCTTGGCGCAAGCGGGGGACCAACGTATGCTTATCACTACCGTAAATCCGGCTCTCAACCCACAAATGTGGGCGATCGGGATGTCACCTCATATGCAGTGTGTATAGAGCTGTGACCGAGTTTGGGGTTGAGGGAGGGATGATTCTCAGTCGTCGTTAGGTGCAACTTGAAGTAGCACGATTCGTACCAAAAAATTGCCTTTAGCCCACCGCGAGGGTCGAACTCGCAGCCTTCAGATGACACTTCGGGTGGCCGAAACCTCCGCCCTAAGAGTCTGACGCTCTATCCGATTGAGCTAGGCGGGCGGTAACATACTGACCTACGCAAACGTTTCAGTTGTGACCTAGCTCATCGGACTCTGCCGACTCGGAAGTCGGAGGCGGAAGTGCACACGTGTGACCTTTTCTGGGGCCGATGTTACCCCGTGTCACGGAGCACATGACGAGCTGCTAACGTGTCCTCGTCCCAATCGGGAAGCTCATAACTCGAACCCTGACAGACCCTGACGTCCATCCTCCTACTCTTCCTCCTCTCCGCTTTCCTCCTCCGCCTCTTACAGGCCTTTGCTGGCGCTGTCTCAGTCTACGTTCTGTCATACAGGACCCCACGATGATTCTTAGACTATCTATTCTACTGCCATTGCTGCTCGGCGGGCTCGCCTACACCACTAGCGCCGACCAGCAGACACTCTCCGGCTCGGGCGGCGCTCTCTACCCCCCTGGGCTTGTACCGCTAATCAGTCGTGCCGACACTCTTCTGACTGCTGGTCAATTCAATGATGCCGCGAGAGCATATTCCGAGGCCATAGGTGAGTAACCGTTAAGGACTCCGCAGTAGCGCAGGGAAGCCTAGAGCCTGGCCCCCGTCGCAAACGCTGTAGAATACGGCGGCGGGTGGACTTTGAAGTGAGGGAATTAGGTGCTAATATGTGATTCAATTTCAATTTGTAGAACAGTCTCCGGCCGACTATCTATTGTACTACAAACGTGCTACTGCGTATTATTCACTCGGCCGGCACCCGGCCGCTCTCGCCGACTTCGACCAAGTGCTCAGCCTCACCAATGACACATTCGACAAGGCGAACCTCATGAAGGCGCGCATCTACGCTAAGGAGGGGAAGTACGCGGATGCGCGCGACGCACTGCGGAAATACTCCACCAAAGTCAAGGGCGACCAAGCATCCCAGGAGGTCATGATGTCGATCACGGAGGGTGAGCTGGCGAGTAAGAAGGTCACACAGGCGATTCGTGCGAAACTATGGCAGGCCTGTGTTGAAGCTGCGTCTATGGCTCTCTCAACGGCGTCGCACTCGGTGAAGCTCAGGCAACAGCGGGCGGATTGTTCAATCGCGGCCGGTGATATCGAAGGCGCTGTAGCGGATCTCTCGTACGTCACTACCTACCTTGAGTTAACGCATCTTGTCTGAAAGGGCTACAGCCGTCTAGCGCAGCTTTCGACACCCACAACATCCGTGTGGATGAAGATGGCGAGGCTAGGATACTTCCTCTTTCCCTACAACTCGCCGACAGAACCCCTATCCCCAGCGTTGTCGACCTTGAAACAATGTTTACACTTCGATCCCGACTCGCCTAAGTGCCTCTCGCTTCACCGGTCAATCAAAGCGTTCGACAAGAGCTTCAAGAACCTTGACAAACTTGTTCAGAAAGAGGACTGGCGTGGGGTCATTAAACTACTCCTCGGCAAGGACGAGGCAGGGAGCGATGGATTCATGGAGAAATTCGACGCCGCGCTTGCTGAACATACCGCTCGTGACGCGCTTGAAGTCCATCCCCAAATACCCATTCCAGACGGTAAACGTGCGTCACCACGACGAGCCGTCATGCTACGTTCGTTGTGCCGGGCGTACGTGAAGCTCAACCAGGCGAAGAAGGGTGACCAGTGGTGCAATGCACTCTTGGGGATGGAGGGCATGGAGAACGACGGAGATGCCCTCATCGGGCGGTCAGAAGCGCTGATGGCCAATGAAGAGTGGGAAGAGGCTGTCCGTGTATTGGAGCGCGCATTCGAGGCTAGTGGGAGATCGGATCGCGAGGTATGTGTCTATTTTTGTGACTGCGCACCCATCGTTAACATATCGATGCTCTAGATCCACCAGAAGCTGCAACGTGCGCAGCGGTTGCTCAAGCAGTCGAAGCAGAAGGACTACTACAAAGTCCTTGGCGTTGCCCGCGACGCGGACACGAAGACGATCAAGAAGGCATAGTAAGTGACGCACATTGCAAGCCGTTTGCCGCATTGCTCAGCCCGCGCAGCCGGAAAGCAGTGATGACTGCGCATCCAGACAAGGGTGGCAGCGAAGCGAAGATGGCTGCCGTGAACGAAGCATATGAAGTGCTCAACAACCCAGGTAAGTGCCCGACTTTCGCGGCGAGCTAATCTGGCGTCTCCATACTGACCCACCTCTGACCCACTTCAGAACTGCGGCAGCGATTCGACAATGGCGATGACCCGAACGATCCCGCATCGCAGCAGGGTGGCAACCCATTCCAGGGCGGTGGCTTCCCAGGCGGCTTCGGGCAGTTTTTCCATCCTGGTGGCGGCTTCAACTTCCCTGGGGGCGGCTTCCAATTCCACTACAGCGGGCCCGGCCACCACTAGTACATCCTGCTCTCGTCTCTCGTTCAGAGGGTGTAGATTGTGGGAGGTGTGTGCTGGGTGCAGCCTTCGGCGTTGGCGTTCTTGTACGTACATTTGTTGTTTTCGGAACCTGTCCTTGTATAAAAGCTTGTCATTGCTGTATGTTACCGATCATATGCACACAGATGGACTTCGTTTTCAAGAGTTTCAATTTCTTCGAAGGTACTCGTGCTTGGCTAGTATGGTGCGAAATATAGAGCATGGCGCCTCTGGATCGCTACGTAAACGCGAAGTCCCTAAAGCTCTGAAGGGCGACCCTGTCTTTAAGGAACGCATATACGTCTTGCAATTAAGAGTGCCAGGCAGCGCGCGACGAACATGTACCGGTGAGTACCGTCAACAACTCCCAGCAATGTTTAAGGCGTTCACAACCTGAAGCCGAGTAAGCCAAGTCCGGTGAGGATGACTTCAAACTGCAAAACGGCCTATAACTAAGCACACGATCCGTCTCAATGGTAGATCATTACAATTCGTGCACTCATTGACTCCAGATAACTGTACAACACATGACACCTCAAGAATGAAGGTGACCGTCCTGACGGCCATATGGGCCTATCCAGTAGCCCTACGAACAATAAACCCGCTACTAGCTTCCTCGACTATCAAAGCTTCAAATATCAAGCCTGGGGGGTAGGAGGGCTGGTCGGCTCGACCTCCTTCGTCACCGTGCGTGTAACGGTGAAAACGTCGTCGGTCGAGATGGTAGTAACCCACGGCTCATCTGGGTACTGGAAGTGAATGATGCCGACACGATGCGACCGAAGATACGCACTGGGTTCAAAGCTCTGGAGGACAACGCTGGCGGTGAACGTCTGCGTCGTGACTGCCGTAGTCAACGTAAAACTGCCAGACGGATGCGGGTGCTGTTGCACATCGGCAGCGGGCTGGACCAAGACTATTAACGTCCGTACGACTCTAGGGAGGGAGTGTCAACATACGGCAGCGAGAGCGGCGGCAGCGACGCTCGCGACAACGAGGGCGGTCTTGAACTGCATGGTGTATGAGAGAAGAGGCGCGGGGTTGACAGTCTGAGTCTGAGAGTGAGCGATTTTTGCGGAACTGGGCGTCCACTGACTTATATGTTTTGCTTCCGTGTTGCCAAGACACGGCGCGCAGGCGGCCTGGCCAATTCACGAAGGCACGAGCCCCGTGCGGCCATGCTAAACCCTCCCGGAGTGCGATGGTCGGGAGGCATGATGGGCCGCAACGCTCCGCAACGCCGTCCGGCGGCCTGTTTGGCTATCCTCCCTTCCTGCGCAATGGCGCATGCATGTCGCAAGCGGGTATCGAGACGATGTTGGCAGCTTGCCTGGGAAGTATGACTGCGTCGCGGTGACCCATGAGGCGCACAGCTGACTAGTAATGCTCGGGTAGATTAGCCCTGCGTGCCGTTAAACCCTATGGCGGCCTGTTGTTCTCAGGCTGCGGACGAGCAGTAAGAGGTGTGCTGTTCCGCTCACCTGTTATGTCGTCGGCCGGCGCCCCATGTCGCCCAATTGGGAGCTTAGATGTCTTTGAGGCTGTTCGGACAATCCCTTTGCGCAGTTTTTTGGCGTGACTGTCGAATCTCAGATTACTTAGGCACTGATGGAAGAAGCGAACCACCGCGATACACAAGCGACCGAACGCGTGGCCCGCTTGCTGTAGACAGATAGTATTTGGGCATACCTGCAACTTATTAACACACATCGAAAGCTTTCACGATAAACGTGAAGGCGGCGAACCTGATGCATCTGCTGTTCACGTCCAGGCTACCCGACAGGCTTTAGCTGTATTAATTGACCCGTTGCCTACGATCATACGGGAACGGACGGTGCGATGACCTTGTAATGCCGTGCTGGCTGACTTCCAAACGCGGCACTTACCAGAGAGAGATGTGCAGAATCAGAGGAAGAGAACGCTGCACCAGACCTTATACTGCAGTTGCCGACTCCTCCGGATCCGTCCGGGCGCCTGCCATGCTCTGCCATGGCACTCCCCCGCCAATTTATTAGCGCCTGTCGTTCCTCGACGTGTTTTTCACCTCCAAGTTCGTACCTAACTCACTAGTACTGGTGTCGGTGTTTCAATTGCTCGCGCTTTCTCACTAACACCTCTCGTGAACCCTTTCATCCTGCCATGGACCCAGCCTATGCTGCTAAGGGTGAATGGCGTCCGTTGTTTCCTTCATCACTATGCGTGCTCAGATATCGGTTGCCCAGAAATCGTCGACTTGAGCGACGCTGAACTCATTTCCCTCGGGTTCCTGGGCGAGAGTGAGCCCCTTTGTTGGTGGTAGAGGCGTTCGTACCTCGCTCATCTCATTATTGCCCATCCACCTTGCAGACGTTGCACCAGAGGTCAAAGATATCGTCGAAAAGGTAAAGGCTTGTCCTGATTACCTAGGCGGTAAGCCGTTCCATCTTATTTTTGCGTCTTCAATTATCCCGCTTACTCGCACCTTCCGCTTCAGACATCACATGCTTCATGGTCAATTGTCTCAAACATCAGTGCTCGGTCCAAGCTGTTCAGTCGTCCGCTTCTCTCGGCCCGCCCCCAGCAAGGCCGAGACTCTCTACTCGAAGCTCAACAATGATGTGGACTCTAACACCGTCGTTGCCCCCAACCTGATCTCCGAGTATGAGATGAACTTCTGGTACCACGGGAT